AATGTTTCCAGTTTTTTATTATAAATTCTGTTTGCTTTTAGACTGTCTTGGGACTGGGGATATTGCTCAATGGTAGAATACCTGGAGGTACTAGGTTTAATCCCCAACAGTCGTGGGGGACGAATGTTTTATGATGGCCATTAGAAAATATTATTAGATTATTTCACCTGCATCATTTAAGAAGAATTACAAGAGCCGGATACAGTGGTGCATGCCTGTAATCCCAGCGGCTTGGGAGACTGAGGTGGGAGGATCATGAGTTCAAAGCCAGCCTCTGCAAAAATGAGGGGCTAAGCAATTCAGTGAGATCCTATCTCTAAATAAAGTACAAAATAGGGTTGGGGATGTGATTCAGTGGCTGAAGGACCCTAAGTTCAATCCCCAGTACTCCCCTTCAAAATAAAGAATTACATGAAAATGTTTTAGATTGGAATAGTTTGAATTCAGAACCATAATTGTCTAGGTTAATATTTTCGGCAGAAATGAGAAAAGAAAAAACAAATGTTAGATTTATTATAGATAGTGAATATCAGAATTGGCTATTATGATTTTTTGTTATATTATCTGTTTTAATTGGATTATAATTAATCATAACAAAATATTCTTTTACTAGTTCCTAAATGTTTCATTGTCCTTATTTGTAATTACAGTAAATCAAATATTAAGTTATAATGCATGCTCTGAATGAATTTCTAATTTTTATATCATAAAAATATTGTATTTTTTTTTTTTTAGCTTCAGAAGAATTAACTATTGCTGGTATGACTTTTACAACTTTTGATCTGGGTGGACATGTTCAAGGTAAGATTCTGTACTATTACAGTCACTTTATTTTATTTTAACTTGGTTGAAAGGCCATTATGTTCCAGTGCATGAAATCTCATTCTGTTTAAGCAAAGCCAGAGTAGACTTAAAGTTTAGGGATTATTATTACCCCCAGATAAATGCTTTAAAAGCAAGAGGTAATTTTCATAATATTCCTGGTCAGTTTTAGTGTAAGTTGCTTATGGTGATTAAAAATATGAGTGAAATTTAGCTTCCATTCTTTCTGCTTCAGTCTACCTATCATCTGTTGTTGTAATTATGTTATGAATATGTATCTGCTCTGAAAACACCTTCAGTAGATAATTCATTACTTAAAATAATAAGGCCAAATTTATTGACCTGGCATTCAGTATCTCTGGTATGTACTATGGACTTTTCTTTTTTTTCCCTGATATTCTCCTCTCCACTCCCTCCCTCACCCTTTATTTTATTTTATTTCTATTATTATTACTATTATTATTATTTTCTTTTGGTGGTTCTGGGATTGAGCATAAACTAGGGCCTTGAGCATGTAAGCAAACCCTCTACCACAGAGCTACATAACCAGTCTTTTAAAAATTTTTATCATGAGACAGGATCTCACTATTTGCCCAGGCTAACCTTAAATTGGTAATGTTCCTGCCTAAGTGTGAGCTACTGCACACAGTCCCATTCTCTTTATTCCATCCAAACCAAAGCTTAGTGATCTCTGCGCTTTTGCTCATGCCATCCCCATGTGTATGTAAGTAACTAGTTAAGGGCCCAGTGTACATTCTGCTGCCTTCCAGGGGAAGCCACTCCCAGCTTAGAGTGCTCTCAGTTTAGCTTCCTTAGACTTTTCAGTGTTTGTGCACAGGTCTGCAGCAAGCTTGGGAAAGACTATCTTATCTCCTAAATTAAATTGTAGGACTAAAATTCTACAGAAATCTAAATTTGTTTTTTTATCCCCAAAAGTACTTGACAATGTCCAGCACATAGTAAGTTATAACTAATGCATATTACAGAGTTAATGGGCATTCTAAAAAGCTGATCTTATATGTATTTGAAAGGATTTTAAATGGTTGTGGCTAGTATAAGCACATTTGATACATAAAATAATTGTTTATATATATATATATATAAATTAATTTTGGGGATGTGAAGATTAGTAAGAATTATAATCTAGCTGGGCGCAGTGTGCCATGCCTGTAATCCCAGCAGCTTGGGAGGCTGAGACAGGAAGATTTTGAGTTCAAAGCCAGCCTCAGCAATGGCGAGGGGCGCTAAGCAACTCAGTGAGACCCTGTTTCTAAATAAAATACAAAATAGGGCTGGGGCTGTAGCTCATTTTTTATTTTGATATAGGGTCTTGCTAAGTTGTAGAGACTGGCCGCCAACATGCAAGCCACCTGCCTTAGCCTCCCAAGATGCTAGGATTACAAGTGTGTGTCACTGTGCCCACCTTGGAGAACTACTCTTAATATCTTTTTTTTTTTTTTGGTTCTGAGGATAGAACCTCAGAGGCACTTAACCACTGAGCCACATCCCTAGTCCTGTTCTGTATTTTATTTAGAGACAAGGTCTCACTAAGTTGCCTGGCACCTTGCCATTGCTAAGTCTGGCTTTGAACTTGTGATCCTCCTGTCTCAGCCTCCTGAGCTGCTGGGATTACAGGTGTGCACCACCACACCTGGCTATTCTTTACTATCTTGTTGGACACTTCATTCAAACCATCTGCTAGGTTTGACCAGCAAATAAATTCTCTAACTCCTGATTGTTTTTGTTAGCCCGAAGAGTATGGAAAAACTACCTTCCTGCTATCAATGGCATTGTATTTCTTGTGGATTGTGCAGACCATGAAAGGCTGTTAGAATCAAAAGAAGAACTTGATGTAAGTTAAATAATTAAAACTAAGCATAGTAAAATCACTCTGGTAAACCTGAAGAAATAAATTGGAAATATGGTGTCAGAATGCAGCCTTTCTGTACTCTCTGATGAAACTCCTGAAAATTTGTTGAGCTTAGTGATTGCTTTAAGTAGTGATTACTCGGAATGCAGGAATTACTAGCAGTAATTGTAGCTATTGAGGAAACATGAACATAGACAACCTTCTTAAAGACTCTTCTAGGGGTTCACCCTCTACAAAGTGTGCCCATCCTAGTATATTTCATGTGTACTGCATTCTTGGAGTGGGGTTTATCTTGAGTCTCTAGTCCTTCTTAGAATGCCATTTCTTCAGGAATTGGCTAGAATTTAGAAATAGTATAACATGTCATCTTTGTCACCACTTCCAAAAGTGAGCAGGTGCATGTTTAGCTACCTCTCCTTTCCCCTCCCAGGCCAGATGCTTTATAAAGGGTCTCAGGAATAGCAGGTAAGACCAGAAATAGATCTGGGACCAAAGGGTAAGTAGCTCTGTGCTTTTACTGAAGCAAATCATACCTCTGCCCAGAGCAGACAAATACTCCTTTATATGGAATAGTCCAAATGGATTCTGTAGTCATGGGACATGGTCTGGGAGTTCCTGATTCCTTCTATGTGCCAGGCATTGTAGACGTGCACTATTACTTCATTTAATTCTCACATCAATTCCATAAGGTAGGTGCTACTATTCTCTATTCTCTCTGAGCTTCTGTGAAGCTAACTTGCCTATGGTTACAACTCATAAGCAGCAGAACCAGAAGTGAAACAATGTCTGTCCACCTTCAAGGGGTTAGCTGTAGCAACTCTACCTCACTGATTTACATAGTGAGCAGAATGAACATTTACAGAAAGAGCTTTTGGGAGACATAAGAATTTATGAGTCCATTGTATTTACCTTAAGATGTGGGAAAAGTTTGACAAAAAAATCATCATGTTGTGTAATGTAGAGAATGAGTCCTTGATTGTTTTTGTATTTTTTTGCTCTTTTTTTTTCAGTCACTCATGACAGATGAAACCATTGCTAATGTGCCTATACTGATTCTTGGGAATAAGATTGACAGACCTGAAGCTATCAGTGAAGAGAGGTTACGAGAAATGTTTGGTTTATATGGTCAGACAACAGGAAAGGTAATAAAAAAAAAAAAAGTTTGACAGATGTGAATATTTAATTCTGCAGTAAAAGTGTCTTTAAATTAGGGGCTAGGGTTGTATCTCAGAAGTAGAGTGCTTGCCTAGCATGTGTGATGCCCTGGGTTTGATCCCCAGCACCACGTAAAACTAAATAAATAAAATAAAGGTATTGTGTCCATCTATAATTGAAAGTATATATATTTTAAAAGTGTCTTTAAATTATACAAGCTTTTTTTTTTTTTTTT